TTCCTAAGGTGAACCCGCATGCCGCTCCCATCTGCACCCTTTACCTAGTCTCCCCTGACTGTAGCCTCTTTGGGACAAGGGCTGCCTGTACTCATGCAGCATTTAGTACTGAGGTCCTGCTGGGTTGCAATGGGAGCTGTACCTGTCTTCCTGAACTTCCTGAGCAAAGTCAAATTGGCCAGACCAGCACTCCTGCCTTCAGTCTTTACCCCTCCAGTGCTGCTAGTTTGCAGTGTTTTCAACATCGGGTGCATGTAGGCACACCGGGCAGTGGCGTGTTGACATGACTGATGGTGTAGCACGAACGGTGAGGGTGACGGAAACACGGGGTAGCCGCCCCCCTTCCCGCAGGCGAGCCCAGTGCCAGCCGCGTTTCGTGTGGTGTGCACAGCAAGGAGAGAACCAAGCAGAGGCATTTTGCTCTGGCCGATCGTCTCCCGTTTCAGTTTACTTATGTGCTTATGTGCTATTTTGAGAACCGGCCGCATCGTGCTAAGCAGCCTGTGACCTGGGGAAGGTACGGGCTTCAAAACAAGAGTCTCGCTGTCGAGTCAGTCTCCTTGTGGGGATATAACGGGGCGCTGACAAGAGCGGCGGACCGTGGTAGAGCGCTCCCGTTGGAACTGGGGCTCTCCCCTTTCTCCCACGTGTTCATCGCCTGGCCAGTGTATCCCAAAGACTCCACTTAGTTTTGGGGCTGTTGAGTTGCAGAGGCTTGAATCTGTGCAGCAGTGATGTTCTGGGACTGTTTCTTTCTGGAAAGCCCCATAAACGGTATGCTTGCAGGAAGGAGGGGCTGTACAAGTTTGCTGTTGCTTTCCCCTCTAATTGAGCACACTGCTAAATGTCCTATAGCGGTAGGTGGGGTATCTCTTCATTCCCTGGAGAGATTTTCATGCCCTGCAACTTTCCCCAAGTACTGGCATGTTTCTTGTTCCTCCTCCTGCTTGCACCCTTCCAATGCAAGGAGCCAGCCCCTGTGCTGCTGCTATTCGATCCCATCAAATTCAGGCATGGAAGCACTTTTGTCAGCAGCGGTTATGTAATTCAGACGAGCTGCTCTGCGCTACACCTTAGGACATGCACACGTGTGTGTCCATGTGGGGGTGTGCAGGATCCTGAGAGCAGCAAACCAGGAGAGCTTTAGTAGTAAGACCCCAGGGAAGTGGCTGCCCTCCCGGCCAGCCAGGCTGTGGTCGGGCTAACCTAGTCCACGTGTCTCTCCTCGCAGCCCAGCTGCTTCCCGGCACTGCTCGTTACTTATTTACACGCATGCAGACCTACGGCACGCACCCCGTGCTCCTGCTCGTCCTCTCGCAGGCTTCAGGCTTTATAACCCAGCTGTAGAGTAGGCTTCTTTCCAGAGCAAACCTCCACTTCTGTGTTGCTGGGAAGGGGCCTGGATGGAGAAAACCCCGTGGAAAGCTTAGCTGACCTAAGAGCATTATAGGCGCATTAGTTTGACTTGAGCGGCGTCCGTGCCCTGCGGCCGCTTGGGGCAGACTCGACTGGTTTCAAGCAGAGGGGCTATTCTGGCCAGAAGCGGTGCAGGCTCTGTCCTGCTCGGGGGTCTCGTACGCTGGTGCGGACGCTTGAGACTTAAAGGTAAGAGACGGGTCAGCCTTTGCCGGGCTCTTTGCACGTGATTGATAGTTCGCTGTTGCTTAGAAACCTGGGCAAACATGACAGCGGACATCTCCGTCGTACTTTGCTGGCCAGGGATACGGTAAAGCGTCTCGGTGCGGAGGGGTTTCCTCGGCCCGGCTAGCAGAGCGGTGTGGCAGGGGAGAGGAGGAGGAGGAGGAGGAAAGTCGCGTGGCTTTGTCCCAAAGGGGAGTTTTTTAGGGGAGCTGCTGTACCCTGGAAACATCGGTCTCATTTGCCCCACAGCAGGGCGAGGGTGAATGCAGCGGCTCCCTTGCGTGGTGGGTAAAGCTGCCTTTGAACCGCGTCCGTGCTGTCTCAGGAGGCAGGTGGTGGCAGGAGTTGGGTGCAGCTTGCCAGGGCAAGCACAGCGGCAGCAGCTGCCAAGGGCGCTTCCCTGCAGTGCTCACTTCCAGCCCCGAGGAAGGACCCGCGCTGGCCGGCACCACGGATGCTCTGCTATAACATCTCTGTCTCTCTCTCTCAATCGCCTGTTGGTTTTTAATCTCCTGCCTGCTTTGTAAATCCGCCCAGGGATCACTCCCCCACACTCCTCCAGCCAGGCTCTCGCAAACCAGTTCCTCAGCCAACCCCATTTCTGCAGCCCCTTGAGTTCACCTCCAGGCAAAACGCGTCCGCCTTGTTGGCTGGGTCTTATCCTGCCTCCCCTGCACCCGCTGTTCAGCTGTCCGGTCGCGGCCAGGGCCAGAGGACCAGCTCGCTGGTGATCTCAAAGTGTGAGTGCATGCGGGGAAGGCCAGGCGTCTTCCCCATCCTCCTCAGCTTTGTTGTATGTGCTGGAAACGTGCGCCAGGCTGAACCACTGCTTGCTGCTGGCACCTGGGAGCTAGTGCTAGAGCTAATCTGAGCAGTTGCCAGCCTTGAACCTCCCAGCACCCTGGGGAGGTAGGCAAGAGCCATTGTCCTCAGCTCGCAGATGAGAGGTTGAGTCCCAAAGGGACCAGGTGACTTGCCCAAGGTTCCCTAGGAAGTCTGTGGCAGGGCAGGGAACTGAGCGCAGGTCTCTCCATCCCTGTGCTTAGCGCCTGCACCACTGAGCCTCCTTCCTCCCTGGCATTGGTGAAGCCGGTACGAGTCCTGTTTGTTCCTGCCTTTCTTCCCACTGCAGTCACTCCAGGGCAGGAAGCCGGCAGTCCTGCTTGGCTCAAATCCTGAGGCTCTTGGCACTCTGGTGGGTGTTTGAGCCAGGGAGGTGCATGCAGAAGGGAAAGGTACCTACAGGGGGACATCCTCTCCCTCCTGGGTAGATCTTGCACTTCTCCCTACTTCTGCCAGCAGCTTCTCCCAATGGCTCCCCTACTTCTGCCGCAGGGGAAGATCTTCCCTAGTAGCAGAGCTCCCAACCCAAGCAGGACCTGAGCGAGGAACTCCTCTCGTGCCTCCTGGAGACGGTACGGTCAGGATACGCGCTGTATGTTAATGCCACTCTTGGACCGGTAGGAAGCCTTGAGGTCCCCGTGGCTTTTGGTGATGTTCTTGACACTGTTGAGCTACATGGGATGGGATAGTCCAGCTGGGGCTATGGCGTGTTGACAGCATATGGTTTATCAATACAGGTCCACTCATGTTTGGGAAGTTTGTGTCCTGGTGTCCGTGCATCTAGACATCCCCCTGCACACCCTAGTCTAGGCAAGGTCTGTTGTGGTGCAGGGAAGGAGGCAGAGTCATCTGATGAGGGCACTAGGTTGGCACCCAGGAGATCTAATACCATTCCCAGCCCATGCAGCAATTCACGTGTCTCTGTGCAACCCTTGGGCCCTGCCCTCGGCTTCTCCATGCTCTGGGCTCCATGGTTGAAGAGCACTTCACTGGTGGCTCCATCTAGCTAAGGTTTGAAAGGAGCTGGCTGGGAACAAGCCACGAAATACGCAGGCTGCTGTTCCTTCCTGCTCCAGGGTTTGCCTCCAGGATGGGGCGTGGGACAGGGCACGCTGGGACTAGGAGGCATTAGGGGAATGGGAGTCCCTGGGCGTTGCAGGCAGCAAATGGGGAAGCCCAAGAAACTTGTGACAGTGTCTTGAAATCAAGCTAGGAAGCTGCCGTGCAGTTGTGTGGCTGTCCTGCCTTTGCTGCTCCCCGCCTTCGGGGTGAAGCTACAGAATAGCCCTCCATCCACCCTCCCGTGCCCCACAGGAAACCTGCTCTCGGACTCAGCTGGGAAAGGTGGCCACCTGCACCCAGGGCTCGGGGGTAGATCCCTTCTTTCTGAAGCAGATGGCCAGGTTCTTTCCCGGCAGCTGCTGGTTTTTAATAGCGAGTGCTTGCATAAGAACGCAGATGTGGGTGCGTCTGATAAGAAAAGCCTCCGTGCCCAGACGCTGCCACTAGCAACGCCCGCTCCGCCTTTCCCAGAGCCGTGCTGGGCTGGATGCAGCCTGTTCCAGGCAGTCAGAAGGCGCTTCCTCTCCCTTGCAGCTCTCCCCATCGCTGCCCAGCCCTTCCCTCCACCCAGCCAGGGGCCCAGGTTTGGTGCAGCTTGTAAACCAGCGAAAAACCTGATGTGAGAGAAGAGCTGGGGGTTTGGAGAGAGGGAAGGTGCACTCATGAGTGCCTGGTTGCAGGCTGCGGGCTTCCATCTGCAGCAGCTGCCCTTCCTTGCTTAGCTGTCTGTAACCTGCACCCCCAGGAGACGTGCCCACCCCACTTGTTATCCAGAGCCTGCTCCGTAGCCCATCCCCCCAGGAGATGTGCCCACCCTGCTTGCTATCCATAGCCCGTACCCACCCTGCTTGCTATCCGAAGCCTGCTCCGGCATCCAGCAGCGGTTCTAGGAATTGAGTTGCATCAGGGCTGGGCACCTGTTACAGTCCCAACCTAGCAAAGAGCTCTGACCTCCCTTACGCCTTCCTCCTCCCCTCAGGCAGGCTCTGCTAGGCATTTGCATGAGAAAGGTCCTCTACTTCCAAAGTGCAGGAGTCCCCAGTGTCCAGACCGGGTGGCAGGCCTGCATGGGAAGAAACCTGCAGTTTCCAAGCAGGTCCGTGCAGAGCCGTGGTGCTAGCGTGAGCCTGGCCGGGCGTGACGTAGGGCAAGGAGCAGTCTAACACGCGACCCAGAACAACCATTGGTTTAGTGTGCTTATGGCTCCTGGCAGGACAGCCCTGCAGATCCATCAGGATCAGGCATAGGCAACCCTGGACCCGGACTGTCTGATTCCCAGGTGCATGGGGCTGTCCATGGCTAATGCTGACAATCAGAGCTGAGATGGATGGAGACTAAAATTGGTGTGTTTTACCCCAGATTCTTTCTGGGTTAGCCCTCCCCTGGATTGCACGTGCAAACTCCCTTGCTTGCTCCCGCAGGGATCTTACCCTGTTTGTGTTCTTCCCCCTCAGACTCTCTCTACCACTGACGGGCTGTGGATTTATGGAGGCACCAGGAAGCGGCTTTGAGTATTGCCACGCGCAGCATCGTGCCCGGTGAGGAAGAGACGTCGCCGGCTCGCCTGACCCCGTGTCCGCGCCCTCGGGTTTAACCATTCAAGGCCCCCGTGCATGGCTTTCATGCCCAAGGGACTCCTGCTGGCTGCAGCCGCGGCCTGATCTGCTCCGGGCTCCCGTCGCTGCTCCCAAATACTCCACGTATCCAGATGGGGTAACGTGACGGAGGGAGCGGCACGCGAGGAGCTCACCCAACGCAGAGGCCTTTCGAGAGGGAGCCTGGCGGCCAGGCAGGCGGCAGCCCTCCATTGCACACACGAAGGGAACTGACACTACAAAAAGGAAGACTGTCGTGGACTGTCATCGTTAATATTATTTGGCTTCTGGCACGGGGGGTCTCGGTGCAGGCCCGGTGCTGGGAATATTTGCACAACGTTTGTTCTGAATCTCCCTCCCCGCACACTCTGCTCCCCGCACCACTGCACCATGGCCCGTATGAATCGGCCGGCGCCCGTGGAGGTCTGCTACAAGAACATGAGGTTCCTCATTACCCACAACCCCACCAATGCCACGCTCAGCACCTTCATCGAGGTAAGGAGGAGGGGATGGAGCCATCCTTCCACCTGTGGGTCACCCGTTCATGCCCAGCTGTGGGGCAGCTTGATGTTGGTCTGTACCGGGGGATACAAGGGGGTGGCTGGTCTCGGGGCAGTTCCCTGCTAACGAGCATCCACGTGGTGCTCATGAGCATTTGCAGTAGAGGTGGAGGCCATGTGCCACGAGCTGTCTCTCACAGGCGGGGCACTGAGGATCAGGGCAGTCGCACAGTCTCCTTCCTCCTGCCCCGTGTCCTGCCAGTGCTTTTGGCAAGCCCCTCAGGGCAGGGCCTGTGTTGTCAGCCAGACTCGTGGCTGGCGTTGCAGCCGGCGGGAGCTCTCCGGGCAGATCCCAGCCCATGGGCATGTCCAACACAGGCCATCTCTGCTCCCCAGATAATGTGCTGACTCCTCTCCCTCTCCATCAACCGGCCTCAAGTGACGGCGAGGAGTTCTTGGGGTCGGGGGGGCTTTTCCTCCTGACCGGATCTGCACTCCCGTTGCATCTTGGCTGCGGGGAAGGCATGAGCTTGTAACCCCAGCACTGGAAACTGGCATTTCCCCTCTTGGGAGCACATCCCTATTCTCTGTGTTGATCACGTGTAGCACTAGCTTCAATGCACTAGTTCCCTAGTGAAACCTCTTGCCCACTGCAGCTCACTTCAGGCAGGGGCGTAGCTATTGGGCCACTTGTCCCAGGCTGCAGGAGGGGCATGTGTCAGTTCAGAGCACCCTGCTCCGACTTGCAGGCTTCTCTTGGCTTTTCAAATGCCTGGGCTGAGCTGGCTGCCATGCTTTGAAAATGTTCCCAGGGCTGCTTCTGCAGGAGGACGAGGACACAGCAGGTGACCCAGCTGGAGATGCCCAGTCCCACACGAATGTGGTAGTGGTCAAGCAAGGGTGTCTGCATTGAGCTGTGCACGGCCACGGCCCCTGCGCTCGCATCTCTCCTGGAAGGTGAGGTCTGCAGACCTACCCCGTGTTCCTGGACTCGGGCCGTAGCCCGTTGACACTGCTCGTAGCATGTGCTCAGAAGCGGACTCCTGTTCTCTCCTGCTGGGGACCAGCAAGCAGCGTCTTTGCTTGAGCAACACAATCCCATGGCTGTACAGATATGTCTATCTCTGCTGCCTGCCGTCTCGGTGGTGGAGCTCTGCCCACCCAGCTCGCAGCCACAGGCCAGCAGCTTCTGTCCCTCATTTGAGTCCAGCTGGCTAAAGGTGAATTAGAGCTTGTGTTGTAATGCTGCACAGATAAGTAGCTCAGTGAGCTCTCTGCCTGGATTGAGCACAACACAGGCAAAGCGCCTACCTGTAGCATATGGTCCAGTGAGAAGCAGTGCATCGGGCATTATCCACTGCTCCCTGCAGGTGGGGGGGTGGAGGTGGGGCGCTGCTTCTCCAGGGGCCAAAGCCCAACAAGGACATGGCTTGAGTTCAGGGTTCAGCAAAATGGCAAAGGAGCTGGAAATGGCTTCTCCTCAGGACCCCAAGCCCTGTGCATTCACCTGCTGGGCATCACCTTTGGATGTTACTTGTGCTTGAAGGTTTAATTTTTTCCATCCTGAAAGCAGCTGGACTCTGGGTATCGCATGCCATCTGCATGCCTTGCAAACCAAACACTTTGCACTGTGCCCCAACCCTGAGCGACTCTGAAAGGGTTGGGGGTGAGAAGTCGAGCAACCTCTCCCCGCGTCTTTGAGTGCAAGAGCCCAGGGTGCAACAACAGCAGGCTCCATCCACCTGCTTCTGACCGTGTGTGCAGAGAATGGCTCGGAGGGGACATCAGTGCTGGTGGGATCCTGCAACTGTGTGGGCATTTTCCCTAAGGCTTATTCGGCATACTCCATCCTGAAGACCCCAAAGCATTTTAGCTGCAGTCTTGCAGGAGAGCTGGCATCTGGCCTTGCTCCAGCACACATTTCAGCAGTGAGCATTC